ATATAAAAATATAAATATAAATACAAATATATATATATATATACACATATATATATACACATATACATATACATATTTATTAATTATATATGTATTTTTGTTTTTTCTTTTTTTTAACATTATTGGAGTTTCTGCGCGACGTCTCACCCGACAAATCGGATCTTTACATTCAAAGAGCCTCCTCCAACAACAAAGGGTTGGGGGTTTAGGGGTTCAGGGTTTAGGGAAGAGGCCTTAACAGTGTTAAAGGGTTCCCTCAAAGGAGTCCTTGTTTAGGTTCTATAAGGGCTCCATAAGGAATGAGGGGTTCAGGGGCCTTCATCTGAGAATAGGATGTTGAAGCACATGTTATATGCGTGACTTTGAGGTATGAGGGTTCTGGTTAGGGTTTCGGGTTTAGGGATGGGCCTGCGATCTGAAGTTTTTGTATGCCCAAACAAGCCCTCAACGGCGAAACTCTAACCCTAACTTGCAAGCCCCAAAAGACTCAGCCTGAAGCTGCAACCCGAAAACTATGACTAGACCCAAAAACCCCAGGAAAAGCCTCCTTTCAAGGTTCCGTTTCGGATTCCTTTTGGGGCACCTTGTGGCCTTCGTTTGGCATGGCAGTGCACTCCCTCTCCTCCTCCCGCGGCTCTGGCTGCGCGGTGCTAGTGGGAGAACTCTCCGGAAGGTCCTTGACAAGGGATTCAGGGTTCAGTTAAAGGAAACTACAGGTGGGGAGTTTAGGGTGTATAGGACTTCTATAAGGCCTTCTATAGGGTATCTCGACCTTCTATAAGGCTCCTATAACGGTAACTACCCACCTGAACATGTCCGGGTGTGTCTCGGGCTTCCGTGGTTTACGGGGTTTTGGGTTTGGGGCTGAAGGCTTCGGGCTCGGGCTCTGTAGGGTTTGGGGTTTGGTGGCTTAGGGTTTGGGGTTGAGGTTCCTGTAAACGAAACCCGAGTTTTTGCAGCCGATTCACTAGCTTTCCTACAGTTCAGGGTTTAGGGTTTAGGATGGTTCTGGGATTCAGCTATCCCTAAACCCTAAGCCCTAAACCTAAACCCTAAACCCTAAACCCTAAACCCTAAACCCTAAACCCTAAACCCTAAAACCTAAACCCTAAACCCCAAACCCAACCCTAAACCCTAAACTCTGACGCTTGGGGCTCTCCTGAGCTGCAAGAGCCGAAGCCATCCTGCACCTAAACCCGTGGAATGCAAGCTCCCAGTGTAGGCGCCTTAATAATTAGAATAGGGTTTTGGGGTATATTATACTATAACTATAACAATGAAGCCCCAGAATAGTCTAGGAAATTATTATAGGCTCTATATGGTACCCAAAACCGTCAATCGTGACCTTGCCATGCTTTAAAGGTCCTCGAAATCGAAGAAGCCACCGCTTCCTCCTCCAGCGGCTGGAAGGTACGGGAGGGTTGGTCTGGACTTGAGGTTTACTGAACCCTAGACCCTAAACCCTAAACCCCAAACCCTAAACCCTAAACCCCTAAACCCTAAACCGGGTTTGTTCTGAATAGGCCCTATAGCCCCTACTGGCAGCTTGAGACTTCCCGATTCCTTTCAGTAAAGATCCTAATCTAGGGGCCTTAATAGCTAGAATAGGGTCTGGGGTATATTCTACCCTAAGTATAAGAAGGAAACCCCAAAAACGAATAGGATCGAACTAGGGTATATTCTACCACAACTATAAAATTATAAAAAGGAACCCCCGAAACCCATTCTAATTATAAATGCCCCTACCTTTTGTCCAGAGCAACCTGCGTTGTTATGAGGAGCCCTGGTCAAGATCATGTTTGCTAGAACCTTCCTTTAGGGTTTAGGGTTTAGGGTTTAGGGTTTAGGGTTCAGGGTTTAAGGTTTAGGGTTTAGGGTTTAGGGTTAAGGGTGTTGAAGCTTCAGCAGAACAGCGGAGAGCGAGAGCATTCAAGGCTTGGAAATAGTACCTGAACCCTAAACTGTGAGCCGAAAGCCCTAACCTGACACCCTCGACTCTAACACCGAAAACCCGAATCTCAAACTCCAACACTCTTACACCGTGCTTCATATCTATCCGTATTTAGATGCCCAGGCATTTGGCAATATCCAACCCGAAGCGACCGGGCCTGCTGGGGCTTGGGGGGCTTTCTCCGAGATCTCGCCAACCTGGACATGGCTAGTTCTTTAAATTCATGTAAGGGCCTTTATGATTAGAATAGGGTGTTGAGGCCCATGATACTACAACTATAGTAAGGAACCCCCAAAATAGTATAGGTAATTTTTTTGAACCCTACATTAGCGTCCCTTTTGGGCCTTTTGGGGTCCCGCTTATAAGGGTGCCGTACTTGGGGACCTGAAGAGGGACCCGTAACTAGAAAACTACGGTGTCTTACTTGGGGGCACGGGTGGGGAACTTCAGGGCATACGGTCAGTGATTCGGGCGCTAAGGTGCAATATAGGAACCTGATTCAGAAATCCCCGGTCCTTATTGGGGTTCTTGAAATTGAATCCCAACAGATTGGTGTAAATAAAGCCAATGTTTCCTACATTAAGCCCCCTTAACACAAAGCCTGAACCCTAAACCCTTATGGTACCCCTATAGAACCCTTGGAAAGGAACCTAGATTAGGGTTTACGGTTCGAGGGGGTCGAGTCCAGGGGTTTCAATAGGCTTGTCTTCGTCGGCGTTTCAATGAGGTTTAATAGGGTTTCAATAGGGTTTTAATAAAGTTTTAAGCCGGGTTTTCATAAGGTTTTCATGACTGTTTATAGGGTTTTCATAGGGCTTTAGTTTCGGACGTTCGGTTGCGGGGCGATCAGACGCATGAGTGTTCTCAACTTCAATTTAGGGTTTCGGGTTTAGGGTTTAGGGGTTAGGGTTTAGGGTTTAGGGTTTCGGGTTTCGGGTTTCGGGTTTCGGGTTTAGGGCTTCGGGTTTCGGGTTTAGGGGTTTCGGGTGGTGGTCAAAATCGTGATGCCGTCTGACAGAAATAGCATGATGCTGCGGCTATAGCCTAATCTTCAGTTATTGCTCGAACTCTACATCCTCAACCCTGACACCTAAACCCCCTAAACCTCCTAAACCCCTAAACCCTAAACCCTGAAGCCAAGACCACCCAAAAGCCCTCAATCCTCCTGAAACCCAGAGCCCGGAAGCCCCAAGCACCCAAATCTCCCTGAACCCTAAAGCCCCGAACCCATGAGAACCCATGAGCCCTACACAATTAATTAGAATAAGGTTTTGGGGCCCATTATGCTATAACTATAATAAGGAATCCCCAAAATAGTATAGGCAATTATCAGGAGTTAGGATTAATATAGGGGCCTTAGTAACTAGAATCGGGTTTGGGGTTCCTTATTATAGCTATAGTGTAATATACCCGAACACCCTACTCTAATTATTAAGGCCCCTACATTAGGGGAACCCTTGAAGATATAGACTCTCTCAATAAGATCCCTTTTTCAGAGAGCCAAAATCACAAGTAGTGTTAAGAAGGGTTCCCTTTAAGGCGTCTCCCGATTACTACCCAGACCCTAGGAGATCGTAAGCAAGATGATCATGAGCATCATGAGCAGTCGGATCCATCTCATCAGGAGCCAGAGCCCAGACCATGGGGACCCACATCACTTTAAACCTATAGACAAAGAGCCCTAAACCCCTAAACACCCAGACCCTATGGTGAAAGCCAGAATGTTGGAATGCGGTTAATGGCCCGCGCCGGTAAATAGGCCCACATTCTAAGAATCATTTTCGTGGCAAACATGGATCCCGCGCCTGCGGAAGATTCTGAGCGATACAGTTACATTCCAGCTTTCATGTAAAAGGGCCAATCAAGCCCCCAAACCCTAAACCCCCTGGACCCAAGCCCTAAACCCTAAACCCTAAACCCTGAACCCTAAACCCTAAACCCTAAACCCTAAACCCTAAACCCTAACTCAAGGCACCTGCTTGGGTTCCTGCGCTGCCTCCGGGGCATCCTGGAGAAGCTCTGTATGAAGGGTACCATAAGGGGCTCCAGGGTTTAGGGTTTAGGGTTGAGGGTTTAGGGTTTAGGGTTTAGGGTTTAGGGTTTAGTTTAGGGTTTAGGGTTTAGGGTTTAGGGTTTAGGGTTTAGGGTGTAGGGTTTAAGGGGCTCCACAAGGGTACTAGAAGGGTGCCTTTAAGGGGCTCCATAAGGCATAAGGGTACTATACTTCGAGGATCATGGGACTTCGTAAGTGAGGTTATAAGTCCCCTGATTGGGGATATAAGTATAGCTACCTTAGTTAGAACCCTACTTACTA